CGTTTGTTCTTTAGAATACGGTATTAAAAGCACGCGAGAGGCTTTATGAAACAAAAGACCAAAAAACGAAACGACTATACGATATACGAGGAAAAACAAAATTGTACCCTTTCCTCTTTCTCCCTCAAAATATAAATTAATACCGGGACTAAGGGCTGTCTGTGTTGCGATACAGTCTTTGTCCCGGCCATTTTGCTTTTGCTCCACTTAACTGATTTAATGAGACAAAATACACGATTTCTTAGTCTTCTTTTGCTTCTAGACTCCCTTTTATGTCCAATATGGGACATTTAAATTCCATTTTACTCTGTAATTTTGTGTCTTATATAGGGGACGATTTATATATTATTTAAAAAGGAATTTTTGATTCAGTTGAACATCTGGTATATTTTCTTCAATACATAATTGAACAATGTGTTGTAAAAAGAGCCATTTATGAAATAGAATATTCCTTCCATATTTACGTATATAGTAATAGAAAGAAATATTGAATTTCTTGCGGTAATAATTTATAAAAGATTCAATCTGAAATTCAACAGTGTGACCGTTACAAACACTTAGAACCAAAAATTTTCCCATGGGGTGTCTAAAGGAGTATTTTAAAAAGGGAAAAGGTTAGAAAAATTTACATACGAAACCTGTTTGACCGATGTAAACAGCCCCTATATGGTCAGTGAGTTTTTCTACCCCCTTTTGAAATCAAAGTATCATTTGGTAATTTTTTTTTTTAAGGGTCTCTGGTTTGTCCGTTTGGATAGGTACATTGGTATGAAGGATTTGGCAAGAGTTTAGTGACACAAGCAAGGTATGTGTATAAATATGTCGTTAAAAAAGATTCGGAGGAATATTTTTTTTATTTTTGAGAGACGAGTTTAATTCTCAAAAAAAAAACTTATTTTTATGAAAATAAACATGTTTTTCTCAATCAAGTACAGTTAACAAGCTGAGACATATCTGACTGATCTCATGGATAACAACTACTGACCCTAATAATAATTATCCTCTCCACCTATTGTCACTCAGTTCCATGTTTAATAAATGAATTATTATTTTCCTAAAGATATTAAAGGATCCTAAATATAAATTGTTGGATCTGAAAGATCGAAATCAGAGTGATTCATCAGATTGGTTATTAGTGTATTTGTATTTGATGGAGAGAAACATACATAGGAATGAGAGAAAGTGCCTATAGAAAAAAACGAACTAGGGAAGATACGGCCACTGATATAGAGCTGGAAACCAGAGGAGTCTATAATAATCTCTTATCAAAACAACTCTCCCTTGAAAAAGCAAAACACCAGAAAAGATACCTCCTGGAGGAATAAAGAACTTTTAGATCTAGGACGAAAATACGCAAGCTGTATAACAGAGCGAGAAAAACGAGCGTATTATTATAAACAGATACGGAAGGCAAAAACTGAATCATGGAGGAAATACTGCCAAGAAGTTGAAAACACCAATGTAGCAGCAAGATTTCAAAAAATTCTGTCCAAGGATCCTATTAATCCAGTTGGAACCCTTAAAAAAACAAATGGCTCCTACACACATTCTAGAAGAGAGACTCTGTAGACTGCACACTCACCTCCCAGAATCAGTCGCAATCGAAACGGAAAGAAACTCACCAATTCATAGTAATCACAAAATCAAGACTACTAAAGAGAACTGGGACACCAGCAAAAGAGATCTTAACCTATGAAAAAATAGAATGGGCAATAAGCTTTTTTGAACTAGGGCCCGATGGCATTATACATGCTCTACTCTGGTAGGGCAAATCCATCATAATACCGCCACTCTGCAGACTACTAAGAGCTAGCCTAGCCCCATATATGGAAAAAGGCCAGAATGTTCTTTATACCAAAACCTGCAAAAGGACTACTCGCAGGCAAAAGCTTTTAGACCAATTACACTATCGTCCTTTAAAAAAGTCATTGATGAACATGTCAGGGAAACTTTTCGTAAAGAAAAGTCACTACACCAATATGCCTATCAATTGTTTGAAAAAAACGGCCCTACACCAACTGGTGACAAGAATATAGAGCGCGCAAATGATAAAAAGGAGGTAGCCCTTGCAGCATTCCTTGGCATAGAAGGGGCCTTTGACCGAACCTAATTTAAATCTTGTTATTTTTATGTTAAAAAATAATAAAAAAAAGTCTTATTGCGGTCTTTAAATCGCTTAGGTGTGGTTCAAAATCTTCAAATTTGTCAAAAAAATCAAAGTGAAAATAATCGTTTCTGTTCGCTTATCTTCTTCCTTGGTGCACTTTCCATCCAGATTACACAACTTTCTTGGCTGGCCGGTAACGTTAATTTCGATAGAAATTATCTTTCAATTTTAGAGAAACTGGTGCGGATAGCGGATGACACCTCGAAATTCTTGTACGGATGTGTCCCTTTTCTCGAGTACGGAACTGCGCGCATGCACGTTTTATGGGCTAGCGAACAGGTATTTCCGCGGTAAATACTTTAGAACATAGAAATCTATGGATTTTCTCCATTGATATTGAATAAAAAAAGTTAAATTTAATTTTTACCAAATCTATAAACACTGCTTTGTCTGGACAAAGCAGGGTTTGGACACGGAGACACGCACACCATCAGCAGATGGATTGATAACATGCTTCGGGACACGGAGTCACACACACCGCCAGCAGATGGATTGATAACATGCTCCATGGCAGACAGTTCAGGCCACTCTTAATACTGATATAATGGAGATGTCAGTATCAAAAGGTTGCTCACAGGGTGGGGTCCTATCCCCCTTACTGTGGCACCTGATCGTAGACGAACTCCTAGTAGAACTTAATAACAGAAAAATTTATACCCAGAATTACTCAGGGGAAAAATTTACAAACTACATCTGCGCAAATGCAATGAGCACTTAAAATCGTGAAGGACTGGGTCAAAAAGGCAAACCTGAGTGTCAACCCTGAGAAAATGAAAACAGCAATGGTCCCCTTCACGGAAAGAAGAAAACTAGATGATCTTTCTTCGGAAAGCAAATACAAGTCGTCCGGGAAGTCAAATACCTAGGAATTATCCTGGAATTGAAAACAAAAGTAAAATGACGCTAATGGCCACCAAAAGGTCAGTGGGAAAAACATGGGGATTTCTACTTCACATAGTATATTGGATCTTTACAGTAGTGGCAAGACCCAGAATACCCTACGGATCAATATTTTGGTGGCCAAAAGTCGAACAGAGCCAAGCAATAATAGAGCTATCCAAACTTCAGAGTTGCTTGTCTCTACATAATGGGTACAATGAGAAGCACTCCAACTGCTGCTACAAAAACCGTGCTAAACCTCCCGCCACTCACACCCATCATTATCAAAGCTGAAGGGAAGAATGGGGACTTACAGACTCAATTGTGGCAAGAACAGGAATCCGAGACGAACATCCGGACATACCAGGATAACAAACTGACTGTTTGAGAATAGAAGTGACAACATGACCCCGACAATAAACCACTCACAAGTCCAGATTAAATGGGAAAATAAAACAAAAAACTCACTGGTCCAGAATGAAAACTTAGTATGGTACGCTGATAATCTCAAAACCGACAGTGGAACCGGTGCTGGAGTAAATGGCATATCCTTGAGAGCAAAATGACTTTCTTCCCTGGGAAAGCATATCACCGTATTCCAAGCCGAAATACATGCAATAGAGATATGCCTGCGAGAAAATCTGAGAAGGGGATATGTACACAAGAATATCACTTTTCAGACAGCCAAGCACCTCTAGCATGCCAATATTGCCAACAGATAAACGCAAAATTAGTGTAGGATTGCCTGCAATGAAACCTTAGACTCCTTAGCCAGACAAGGATCAGAAAGGCAGTGTACGGACCCTGAGCTCGTATTCGGAATATCAAAAACCTCGATACGTGGCTGCTTAGAAGAGTGGACAAAAACCACAGGCAATGGTGAATGATTAGTCTCTGAGATCCTAAAGCTTAGGAGAAATCAGATCAGAATCATGACAGAACTCTGTCACTGTACACTGAGAAAACACATACACTAGATGAGTATCTACCAAGATGAACCCATTTGTTGACTGTGCCATGAGGACGAATAATCAGTCTTTCCAGTTTTTCTTTTATTCAAAATCATGTACAAAACAAATTATTTTACTTCAGCAATATTACTTTTAAATCTCTAATCATTCCAATTTATTCAACATAAAAATAAGTTTTCTTTCGTACAGCGTCTCGAAGATTTATTCTACTTTATTCTTCCTCTTCTTTCTTTCCAATATATTGTTGTTCATTTATATACTGCCAACTACTACAAGCAAAATTTAGGCTGGATGAAATTTCTTCAAAATGGTGTTAGTCGGGTTGCCGAGCCATGTGACATTAAAAAAGTAGGGTACAACTTAAGTTTTATGATTGATTCTGGTACTATTTGATACACTGAATCATAATATGAGGGGTGCCAGAGTGGCACTTTTGGGCAACTTGAAATATCGAAGATTCATTAAGTTCACGAGATTTAAATATCAGAGACCTCCCATTTTATTGCGAATGAAAGGCAAACCAAAATAATATAGTAATTTATAGTTTTATAAATATTTATTATGTTTTATTTTATCTAGGCCGGTTTATTCAACTTCAGATAAAGTCGCTGGTAACTATCTGCAAGATAAATTCACTGTTCTATAATTATATTGGTCGGCGGATAACTGGCCGACCAATGGAATTATATGCAGATTGCGTTTTTATCCGTCAGATTGCATACCTGACAGTTTACCACAAAGTGAATAAACCGAGTTATTTATTTTTTTGTAGGCTAAACATGTCTGAAGATGCCAAGCGCTGCTTTTTTGAGTGCAATCGTACTGATTCACTAGTGACTGGTGGAGTAGATCGACTAAAGAAAATTGCTGAGAGCAGTAGAGAGCGTGGTGACACCATCCATACACAAATTGAAGCTGGTCTACAAGATGAGAGTTTAACAAGTGTGCAATTTCACAAGGTTTGTGTAAGCAGTTATACATCCATGCAACATATCCAACGTACAGTGAAGAAAAAAGGTGAGTTTGAAGAAACTAGCGGCACTAGGAACTCAAGCGTCCCAGACGATCTTATGAGCACTTCCAGTTTCTTGTGCACTGTTTCTTTTATGGGCAGGAATATCTGCCACCGGACCCTAAACACCCAGAACAGAGGGTGCAAAATATTGGATAAAGAAAATGGTGTCTTACTTTAAAAAAAATATATATATATTATTCAAGTTTGTCAAAATCGCGATGACGAATGGGGAGATGAAGTTCGCGTACGTGTTATGGGAGCAACGAGTGATCTGCATGCAGCTGGTGGACGGTACCTACTATCTCTCATGCTATACAAAATTAATGGATTCATGGCCGCTCGAAATGTTGAGAGCGCACATAGCAAAGGGGCCTTTAGTATTTCAAGTGAAGAGGATGAAGGTTTTACGGTTATCTCCACTATGAACAGTAATCGTAGTCGTATGTGGAATTTTGTAGAACTGTATGCTTCCTACATAAGCAATGGTGGTATAAGAGGCCGTAGAATTTTAATTTCAGATCTTTTAAACTATTTTGGTAATGATGTTGTGGTTCTTAGCTCATCAGGAATAGCTAGTATCATTTGCTTCCGTAAAGAAACAGCACACATTCTTAATTTCAAAAATTCTGAGGATGATGACTTTAACATGTTCAGAATTGCTTCTAAAATTAAATCCGGGAACTGAAGGATTACACTACACAAATTTACACCGATGATGCGATGAAAGCGACAAGTGAAACATTGATGAGTTTCCTGATGCACCTAATGCCAAAAGATGATCTGGCTCCATGTCTTATTAGAAACATTGTAACTTGAATTGTTTCAAAACCGTATACCCCTCTACAAGTATCACTTGGTGTAACACTTCATCACGCTTATTAATTAAGACAACTTGTTGATTTGCTATATGGTTCTGGAATTTGTTGTAGCTATGACGATGTAATGAGGTACAAATCCCCAGTAGCAACTACAGTTTGCCGTAACATGCAATCAGCAAACTTCGAACTACAGTCAGTGTCTGGATTCAAACGGTAGTAGACAATTCTGATATACAGATCTCCTCAGCAAATGGACTAAAATCAACACACTCCCTCGCTATGATATTATCACAACAGTCTAAGGATAGTGATAATGTGGAATCTGCTGTTGCCATTAAACGGTTGAAATAGGAAAACTATTGGTCTCACACTACCCGACGTACAAATCCAGCATTACCATGGTACTAATGAACCACCAATGCCCGTCGCTGCAGCTAAAAGGTTTGTTTAGCCACTATCAGTTCTGCCACGAACAGTTGTGTCACGAAGCATCTAGAGCTAGTGATTTCAATTTTTTTAAACAAATGTCAGAAGATCCTAGCAACATACCGGAATATGGTGGCTTTATGACGAAGTGTGCTCGAGAATCCCATACGGAAATCATAACGTTTGTTGTTATAATCTAACCTAGTAGGGATTCTCCGGCTAGCTCAAAAATAAAATAGTCCTACTGAGTAATTGCACGAGTCTCTAAGGGCTGTGATTTCTTGTTCTGTTGGATTATAGTAAACACCTCAATGAAAGACAGAAGTAACATTTACTCAAGTGTATATTATTATATGAATTATTTGAATAGTACAGGAAATGTGAGAGTAGTACCTACCTACAATTTAATATAAACTGATAAAACTCGTTACTTCAATTAAAAGGTGCACCCCATAGAACTAATAAATTCTTCACTCTTGGTGATATTAATAATACCCGAAGGTTCAACTCCTATAATGATAACTTAGGAATCAAAAATACCTACTTATGTAAAACTTTGGCGAGCTAAGCTCCCACTTAGAATATTTCAAACAATTAAACAAGATCCGTACACTAATGGTTAATAACTTGGTCAACTACTTGAAGTTTTGGTTTTCTTTTGATTCGAGAAGAAGAATAGCTAAAGTTATCTTACTTGATACGTCGTTCGTAATTACTTCTAGTTGACTTGTGTGTGTGTGTGTGTGACTGCGTGTTTGGGTTTCAAACCACAATAGGCCTGACGGAAGAAGAGGATTGCAACTTGTAACTTTGCTGCAACAGTCCTCGACTCGAAGCTCGATATATGTACTCAAAACGACGTCACGGGCGTCACCTAGATTGGCCCCTCGTCCTAAATTACTTGTGGATTGAAACCCCTGTGATGGTGCCTCTCTCCTAACTCGGACAACGTAGTTGCCAGGCGGCAAGAAATCCTATAAGAAGTAATAAAGAAACTAGGTCCAAATTAAAGTAAGCAACACGTGCCAACTTACCAAAGTTCCAACAAAATCCCTACTAGAGGTAAAACAGTTCCAACAGCGTGCAACAAGCACCAGCAAAGCAGCCCCAACGAATTTAACAGAACTATTTTATTTGTGTGCTCAGTAAAATAAATCCCACAATGGATGGACACTTGGCCAAAAATTTACTTGCACATGGACTTTGGATTTCTAAAAATGGATCTAGAAACAAGATGTCGGTGGTTCTAGAGGGTTTCGAGAAGAAGGACGATTTTCACCAGCGTTCCAATGAAGAAACCTAGCCTGGTGAGGACATGCGCCATAAACTCGAAACAACGTCAAGAGAAAACAAGGTCGCTACAGCGAGAAACCAGTGGATTAGCAACAGAACTATGGTGTAGAAACAAATTCGAGCATTGCCCTAGTGCACCTAGTTCAAAATATAGTTCCCTATTCCGAGTGTTCCGGCGAATCGATGCGATCTAGTGTAAGTCAACCCGATGACGTTACAAATACAATCAGCTGACGATTATTGATATCAGCAAGCTGATCAAAACAAAACTTAGGAAATCTCAAGGTAAGTTTTCTATTAAAAAATATAGTCAATATATGATTATTTCTAGATAAGAAGGAAAATACCGAAGTGCCAAAATAGAGCTATACCTACTCTCACCATGACAACAACTCAACGAGTCAAATCAAGGAAGCCCCAGCTCTTGGAACAAGGTAAGTAAAGTAAGTAGTTCGTTCGTATATTTATGTCTAATTTTCCTTTATTTGCAGACAGCCAGTTTAGTCTACGGAAAATAAACGGTTTCAAAACAAGTACCTAACCCTAAAGCTGGCAAAACCTCTAATGGTAATTTTGGAACGTTATAATATCTCTCCAAGAACTAACACAGTTTACTCACCAATCTTAGATATGAAGCCAGCCGATCATGAAACCATAATCATCGCTATATATGAAGAAACAATCCATGGGGCAGGTATCCACAGTACCTACTTACAGCAGATCAATAACTTCATCGCTTAGTAATATAAGAAACTCATGTTAGTTTGCACTCGAGTGTCACTCCCAGATATAGGAACTCGGCAGCAAAGATTAGTTCGGTATTTTGGAGTCTGGGTGCTGGCGGAAGTACCAGTTTCCTCTTTCTTGTGAATAGGACCATTTCGGTCTCTTTGGGATTTCTATAATTCGAAGAGCATCTTGCATGCGTTCAAAGATCGAGTTCTTGCGGTCTTGGTCTTGGTCTTGCAGAAAATGCAAGACCGAGACCAAGACCAAGACCACTATTAAACTGCAAGACCAAGACCAAGACCGAGCAGTGCAAGACTTATGCAAGACCAAGACTTAGCATTGCACAACTTACGCAAGACCAAGACCGAGCATGCAAGAGTCTTGCGTTTTTGTTCCATTTTTTTCTGAAGAGTACTAAAATTTAGTATGTATAGGCTCTGTTACTGGTATTGGGGCCAACCTATCCTAAAACTTTGGAGAATATAAAGAATTCTCACAAACACAATTATCAAAAATATCTAAATTTCCAATGTAAATCGAATTGGTGTTTAAAAGTAAAAGATTTTTCTGTCCATAAAATTTTTCATGTGCTGAGAAATGCATAAAACTGATGTACACTTTTTTCGTTGAGCAATCATAATTTTGTTTTTTTTCTAATCCCAGCTAAGGTAACGGACCCCAGTGACTTAGATATACTATTAAAAGAATAGCTGCATGAGATTATCAAGAAAATAGATAGATACTTACATTTTAACTCAATTATAGATGGGTCTATGTCAATTCGTCGTAAGTCAATTCGTCGTACGTCGATTCGTCGTAAAGTCAATACGTTGTAAAGTCAATTCGCCGTATACGCCAATTCATCGTAAAGACAATTCGTCGTAAACGTAAATTCGTCGTAAACGTCAATTCGTCGTAAAGCCAATTTGCCGTGCACGTCAATTCGTCGCAAAGCCAATTCGTCGCAAACGTCAATTCGTCGTAGCGTTAATTCGTCGTATTTCAGGTTTCATGTAAAAATGTATAAATTTGCACTTTTTCTATTTAATCAGTCATTATCAAGCCTACCGAATTGCTGTAAAGTACCGTATACGACAATATAGGTAATTCGTCGTTATTATCGGTAAGTTTGATAATGTCTGATTAAATAGTAAAAGTGCAAATTTATACATTTTAACATTGTTCCTGAAATACGACGAATTAACAATACGACGAATTGACGTATACAACGAATTAACGTGTTAATAGTTTGCAATTTTAATCAGACATTATTAAACTTACCAAATATAACCCGTTTAGTTTGCAATGTAATGTCTGTAAAATTGCAAACTAACCGGGTTATTATCTTTATTATCGGTGAGTTTGATAAGTCTGAAATAACTAGACAGTGTAAATTTATACATTTCAATATTTTAGCATGATACCTGAAATACGACAAATTGACGTATACGACGAATTGAAGTATACGACGAAATAATGTTACGACAATTTGACGTATACGACGAATTGACTTTACGACGAATTGACGTGTACGACAAATAGACTTTACGACGAATTGTAATGTAAGACGAATTGACTTTACGCTGAATTGGCGTACGACGAATTGACGTTTGACCTCTTGATTTACGACAAGTTAACGGTGACCCATTATAGATAGGCTTAAAAAAATCAAATGGAATGCTCGTTTAAATAAAATGGTTCTTGTGTTAGCGCCGCTCGTAATTAATTATAAATATCAGTGGCGCACCAATGAGGGGCATCGGGTTGCCGCCTTCCCCCCCCCCCCAGGAAAGGTGGCAAGATCAGGGCGTGGCACTCTGACACCTCAATTTTTTGTTTAGATTTTTAGACACAATACATAATCTATATGTAGGGGCCCCCCAAACACATTCTCTTGGTGCGCCACTGGTAAATACGAATAAAGATGTTTCAATATTACAGGGACAAACTTAAACAAGTGATCCCTTAACTCATCACCCATTGTTTCTTTGAGCATTTTTTAATGGAATAAATTACCTGATTTAAGTACTTGTTAAAATTTGCTGCTGCGGTAGAGGTACTCAAAATTGAAAAGCCAAAATTTTGATACTGGCATATACTCTTCCTTATTTCTTTAAACATTTACTTACTTCAAGTGGCATGAAAAACGATTTTTTTTTTAAATTTTCCCCCAGTATGACTTGCAAGAGTCTTGCTGCAAGACCAAGACCAAGACCAAGACCAAGACTGGACCCTGCAAGACCAAGACCAAGACCAAGACCGTTTATTAGACTGCAAGACCAAGACCGCAGATGCAAGACCAAGACCAAGACCAAGATTAGCCCGTTCTTGGTCTTGGTCTTGCATTTGCTCATCACCACCTCTCCGCAAGATGACTACGTCATCTGCGTAAGCTATTGTATAAGGATTGTGTTTAGGC